TAGCAGAAGATACTATTTTATTTGACTACTCTAAGCCTTGCGAGGTTTCTGAGTGAAGATGTACCAACCGTAGAGGAGAATGAGCAAAATAAACAAAAGCTCATGGCTCTGGACGCTTGGAAATAAGCAGACTTCTTATGGCGAAATTACATTCTAAATGGCTTGGCGGACCCGCTTTTCAACCTGTTCTATGCCAAGAAATCGGCTAAGGAGTTGTGGGATGCCTTTGACAAAAAGTACAAGACCGAGGATGTTGAGGTAAAGAAATTTATCGTCGGCCGGTTCCTGGACTTCAAGATGGTGGACTCTAAAACTGTCCTGAGTCAAGTCCAAGAGTTCCAAGTGATTCTGCACGAGATACATGCAGAAGGGATGGTCCTAAGTGAGTCATTCCAGGCAGCTGCTTTGATTGAGAAGCTGCCTAACGGCTGGAAAAACTTCAAGAACTACTTGAAGCACAAACGAAAGGAGATGACAGTCGAAGAGCTCGTTGTCAGGCTCCGGATTGAAGAGGATAACAGGAAGAAAGGAGGGAGTACCTCCACTATCAAAGCCAACATGGTTGAGCATGGCGAGTCCTCGGGGGCGAGGAAAAAACCACCAACAGGCAAAAACTCAAAGTTGGGGGCCCGAGGAGGAATCTCCAAAAGGCCAACCTACAAGCCAAAGGAGCCTACTTTTAGGTTCAATGACAAATGCTTCAACTGTGGAAGTGACGGGCATCGGGCAGTTGATTGTCTGAAGAAGAAGCCCTACGGGAAAAACCCTCCGCAACACAAAAATCGGGCATATATGGCTGAAATGGAGGAATTGTCACACGATGTGGACGACATGCATCTGTCAGCCGTCGTGTCAGAAGTGAACATGGTGGGGTCAAACCCGAGGGAGTGGTGGGTGGACACTGGGGCCACTCGCCATATTTGTGCAGAGAAGAGAATGTTCACAACTTTCGAACCGGTTTCAAACGGGGAGAAGTTGTTTATGGGAAACTCTGCAACCTCAGCTGTTGAGGGTAAAGGCAAGGTGATCCTGAAGATGACTTCAGGAAAAGAATTGACTTTGAACGATGTCCTTTATGTGCCGGACATTCGTAAGAACCTTGTCTCAAGGTCTCTCCTAAGCAAGCATGGCTTTCTGCATGGTGTTTGAATCAGACAAGGTCGTGTTGACCAAGGGCAGGGTCTATGTGGGGAAGGGATATATGTCAGGTGGTATGTTTAAATTGAATATAATGACACTTATCCCTAAGATTAATGAGAAAGTTTTTTCTTCTGCTTATATGCTTGAGTCCCCTAATTTATGGCATGGTAGATTGGGTCATGTAAATTTTGACTCTTTACGTAGATTAATCAAGTTAGATCACATACCATCTTTCAAGATTAATCCACAACACAAGTGTGAAACTTGTGTAAAAGCAAAATTGACAAGGTCTTCTTTTCATTCTATTGAAAGAAGTACCTAGCCTTTGGGTTTAGTGCATAGTGATGTGTGTGACTTGAAAGTTGTACAATCACGTGGTGGCAACAAGTACTTCATCACTTTTGTTGATGATTGCACTAAATACTGTTATGTGTATTTGCTTAAAAGCAAAGACAAGGCTATTGATAAATTTATTCTTTTTAAGAATGAAGTTGAAAACCAATTAAGTCGGAAAATCAAGGCATTGAGAAGTGATCGTGGTGGTGAGTATGAATCCCCGTTTGCCGAGACTTGTGCTCAATTTGGGATTATTCACCAAACCACAGCGCCTTATTCGCCTTAGTCAAATGGTGTTGCTGAGCGGAAGAACAGAACGCTGAAAGAGATGATGAATGCAATATTGATAAGTTCTAGGTTGCCACAGAACTTATGGAGGGAAACAATTCTCTCCGCGAATTATATTCTTAATAGAATACCACGAAAGAAAGTGGACAAGACTCCATATGAGTTGTGGAAAGGTCACAAGCCTTCATATAAATACCTACGAATGTGGGGGTGTCTTGCAAAAGTGGCGGTACCTACACCCAAGCGGGTTAGGATAGGTCTGAAAACCGTGGACTGTATTTTCATTGGTTATGCACAAAATAGTAGCGCATATAGATTTCTTGTGCACAAGTCTGATATTTCAGATATACACAAGAATACTATCATGGAATCTAGAAGTGCATCTTTCTTTGAAGATGTATTTCCGTGTTGTCCCCAAGACAGGGTTCCGAGTTCCATGAAAGAAATAGATGATCACGAAGACGATCACATAGATGATCACATAGATGATCAAACATCTGATCAAATAACTGATCAAGTGGATGATCAAGCTGATGAAGTAGATGAGCCAAGAATGAGTAAAAGGGCTAGAACCACAAAGTCTTTTGGTCCAGACTTCTTGACTTATATGTTAAAAGGAGAACCTCGAACGTTCCATGAAGCTATGACTTCACCTGAAAGTCCTTTATGGAAAGAAGCAATTAAGAGTGAGATTGACTCCATCTTACAGAACCATACTTGGGAGTTGGTTGATCTACCCCCAGGCAGTAAAGCCTTAGGGAGTAAGTGGATTTTTTAAAAAAAGATAAAAGCTGATGCGTCAATTGATAAGTTTAAAGCTAGACTAGTTATCAAAGGATACAGACAGCGAGAAGGCCTGGATTACTTTGATACGTATTCACCAGTGACAAGGATTACATCCATTCGCATGGTGATTGCAATAGCAACTTTACGTGGTTTAGAAATACATCAGATGGATGTAAAGACAACTTTCTTAAATGGAGATTTAGATGAAGAAATCTACATGGAGCAACCCGAGGGGTTTTCAGCTCCAGGAAAAAGTAAGAAAGTCTGTAAGCTTGTCAAGTCATTGTATGGTTTGAAGCAAGCTCCCAAACAATGGCATGAGAAGTTTGACAATGCTATGTTGTCAAATGGGTTTCGAATCAATGAGTGTGATAAGTGCGTATATGTTAAAGACACTGACAAAGGTTATGTCATTTTTTGTCTATAAGTTGATGACATACTCATTGTTGGTAGCAATGATGAAATGATTAAAGCTACCAAAAGATTGTTAAACTCTAAGTTTGACATGAAGGATATGGGCCTTGCAGATGTCATTCTGGGTGTTAAGATCACCAGAACATCTGGTGGTATTGTACTTTCTCAAGCTCATTATGTTAATAAGATACTTGAGAAATTTTCAACTGAAGAAGCTGAATGGCTTCGCCAGTTTGTTGAGGATATTCCACGTTGGCCGAAACCTGTGCCAGCTATCAGTATTCATTGCGATAGCCAATCAGCGATTGGTCGGGCACAGAGTAATATGTATAATGGAAAGTCTAGACATATCCGTCGTAGACATAATTCCATACGACAACTACTCTCAAATGGAGTTGTCTCTCTAAACTATGTCAAGTCTAAAGACACCATTGCAGATCCGCTAACCAAAGGGTTAACTTGAGAGTTAGTAGAAAAGTCGTCAAGAGGAATGGGGTTAAGGCCTTTAGTAAAGGTTACCGGAACGGAAAACCCAACCTAGTTGACTGGAGATCCCAAGATCTAGGTTCAAAGGGACAACCTAACTTCGTGTAACGGGTGAGTCACTGAAGAGGTAAATCCTCTTGCCCATTCCTTTATACAGTGATGCCCTGTGGGGGTGGAAGGTTAAGCTAATACTTTTAATGACCTTAGTGATGTGGTATAATGAAATACCGTATCTAGGTCACCTATATGAGTGCGAAGTGGGGCCGCTTCTTTAAGAATTGCCAAGGCCGAATTCTTTAAAAACACTCACAGAACCAGGCTAGTGCTCCAGGGCCATACCGGACACACCAGTGAAAACAAGAACAGTGGTTGGACTAACTCCTGTGTGAAGTCTATTGTCTCGGTTTACATAAACAGCAGAACAGTTCAAGACATCACGTTCACTGGTCAGCCAGTAAATCCGATAGGCTTTCACTACGAAAGGTTCAAGGCCAACAGCTACCTTTTCTGATGCAGGGTTAGTCTGTGTGCTCTCTCTCTCTCTTTCCTAGTCTTTGTTGATAAACGTTGAGCGTTTGCTGTATTCGGTCAATTTTTATTCATGTGGGGGATTGTTGGAGAAAAATGGTTGAATAAGAAATTACCTCATAAATGTGTATATAACTCACACATTTAAGGCTCATCAGTTTTACAAAATTGATTGGGCAATTTTGCTAGCATTAGTTGCCAGCTTTGATGGCTAGAGGCTCCTCCTCTCTCCTCCATGGTGTATAAAAGGAGGCCCTATTCCTTGAAAAGATATATAGAATTTTTCCTTGACATCCATACCCTGTCAGTCTACTTCTCTTATAATTTTCTTCCTAAGAGAGAGTGCTGCCATTGTCAGTTCGCTAAGCTAATCAGAAGGTGCTTCTGTTGTAGCTGGTAAAAATCGTCGTATCTTGGGAAGTAGACGCCGGCGTACCTCCAGCACCCAACGGTGAGGCGGCGAATCTATTTTAAGAAGACTGTGGTATCACATAGGTTTCGGTTTGCTTCCTTTAACGATTTTATATTTTATCTGTATTTTATTCAGCATGTTATTTTTCCTGGGATTGAAGGTTTGTTTTGTTCATCTCATAATTTTACGATATGCAATGTGAAATTATGTAATGTGAGTAGTTTTTCCCAACATTTTGTACTGACTGAATAAGACTAGACTGTACAGTTATGGTGAAGGGATTTGGTCCCTAACCTGGATGTTTGTGTATATGTTGTAAATATATTTTGGTAATGAATGTACATATGTTCAGGAAAGTCTTTTTGCATACAGAATGTCACAGTTCATTGGACATTTTTATTTACTGTTTTGGCTTCCGCTAGCCCCTGTACTCTGTATTATTGTCTCTACTGTTAAGCAGGTCTTTGGTAATCACGAATTACTGGCCGGTTGCAATGCTTTAACCCATAAGGCCTGGTTTCGATCGTGACACGGCTTCATACCAAAAACTAGAGAAATTTACCACATTATGGAGTTCCATATTATTTGACACTAAAGGTGAAAAAAAAAATTATATGAAATTAATTAACCATGTGACAATGACATTTTAGTGCACACCAGCCTTATGTCAAACCTTCACTCAACCTAGACACAAAGCAAAACAGCAAATATAGATAAAAAGGGCCTCCAACACTACACAACACAATACAACAATGACATTTTAGGACACTAGCTTTATGACATACCTTCACTCAACCTGGACACAAAGCAAAACAACAAATATAGAGAAAAGGGTCTCCAACACTATACAACGCAACCAACACTATTACTTATATTTCTTGTGGAGGTTCAAAGCAGCTAGTCCAACCAACAACATGTATGCCACTGAGCCTAGTATAGACACCACAAGTGCGGCGGAAAGCTGGTGGCAGAACTTTTCGACCACGTTGCATACCTTGTTCCACTGCACGTGCGAGTTGCCCTGGTAGCCGATGACCCCGACGGCACCGGCTGCTCCGATGCCGGAGAAGAGTAGAGCCACCATGAGTAGGTCAAGGACCATGATCATCATTGTCAAGCCTTTCTTTCCACTCTTGGTTGCTACCAATGTGAGGACCAATGAGAGTGCAGCATATGCACATGCTATGGCATTTGTCACCATAAAATACCTAACAAATCAACAACAAAAAAAAGATGTGAAATTTTACTGGACTTACTTAGCTACTTGCCAAACAGAGACTAAGATATCATATTAGTCAACGAAAAAAAAAAAAAATTTTGTTTTTTTGATCATGGTAGCAAATGTAGGCAGTAGAAGTGAGATAAGAACAAGGATTGTCCTCGTATATCATTTATTTTTGAATAATACTATATGTATCAATTAATATATTAATTAATATATTAATAGATGATGTGACATAATTTTAGAGATTTTAAATATTTATAATTTATATAATAGGTGAGTTAGTGATAATAACATAGCACTAATTGATATATTAATATATACATTAATTGACTCATACTGTTTATTTTTTTTCTACTCTTATCAGATCTGTATTTTAAAATTATTGACAGAAAATTAAATGAAGGGGGTTGCTCAAAGTCATTAATGTTGACGTGAAAGTATGGGCAAATTAAATAGCCCACACCATTTATATATGAGAAGATACACAAAGATCTTTTTCTTTCTTAAAAAAAAAAATTAATTAATTAATTAATTTTCAAACTTGAACGTGTATTATTTTTTATTTCAAACATTAAATTCGTATCCGTCTAGGGTGTGAAAGAAGTAAAATTAAAAAAAAAAAAAATTGGAATAGAAAAAAAATTATTTATGAAAATTTTTTTTGTCAAAAAAAATAAATAAATAAATAAAATGTCAGTCTTGCAACCAAGGGTAGTGTCATATAGACAAAGTATTAATTTAACACCAAAAGAATCTTTTTTCTCTCCCTTTTTAACACATATATATATATAGAGGTAATATCATATATATAATTTTATTTGTTGCCAATTTTACAGTAAAGACATGAGGACCCATGTTAATAAATGTGAGTTAAACCACTCATTTGTGTGTATAAATAAAATAAAAAAATACAATTATTTGTAGTATTCTCCATTAATGTGTAAAAAGAAAAGAAAAAAATCATAAATAAAAAAAAAATTTAAAAATTAATACAAACCTACCGATGTGTACAAATAACAACCCCGTTAGGCACATTAATGTTTTGTTTGAAGTTTGAATTTTTGAAAGTTAAATAAAAAAGCAAAAAAATTGTACTTTATTTCTCTCTTTCCATGTATATGTTAAAAAGAAGTGCATTCATCAAACCTCAAATCTTAGCACTAATATCGGGAAATTTAAGAACATATTGATCAAATAAATATAAAAAAAAAAATTGATACAACCCTTGATCAAATAAATAAGCTCACTCTGAATTCATGTAGTTTATGTGATAGGATATTGATTATCAAATGATGGGTCTTAAAAAAAAAAAAAACAGAAGAAGAAGAAAGAAACTCATAGTGCATGACATGAAAATTTTCACGGGTATTGAGGACTGCAATAAGTTTCCACCACCACATAATAAATTGGATTTTGTTAATGTGTGATTTTAGACTACATTTATTGAATTTTGTTAAGAAATTTAAAATAATTAAACATTATGTATGAAATTGCACTTTTTAAGAAGATCTTAAAAAATTAAGTACTTGTAATCGTAGCTTTGTTTTAACAAAATAAAATTAACTCTATTAGTCAGAATTCCTGCATTCTAGAGTTTGATATCTTTCCTCCCTGAGCTATGGAGCAAGGATCCTCTCCTTCAATCATCTTCTTGGCTCCCGTAGGCCATGTGACCCATTTTTTAATCCAATTTCGATAATTTAAACCGTTCACATTTTAAAATTTGTCATGTGTATCATATCTGTAAAAAAGCAAGTCTATCGGATATCAAAAATCACGTGAACTAAAAGTTTTATTGAATAATAAAACTGTTTATCAATTTTTTTTTAATTAATAATTTTTAGTTATTCTTATATCCGATCAATTTAATTTTATATAAATATAATATATATGACAAATTCTAAAATATAAACGGTTTGAATTATCAAAATTGAATCTAAAAATGGGTTCAATAACCCACCAAGTAGGGAGCAAGGAGAGGATCCAAGGCTTGCTCTGGGCTATGGCCTCAGATATGTGCCAAAACAAAGATTATATCGTCATTTTGACACAGAAAAAACTTTTAAATACACATCTAAGAAAGAAAGGAATAGTGTTTGCAAAGCAAGTAATTTAAAAAGCCAAAGAGGAACTTTGCGTGTGTGTGCGTGTGTGTGTGTGAGAGAGAGAGAGAGAGAGAGAGAGAAAGAAAGAGAGAGGACTCACACAAAGGCAGACATGTCATGCCACAGAGCAGTAACAGGAACATTCAAGGGTGGGAGAGTAGAGACCACAGTGATAGGAACAACCTTAGTCTGCTTATCTAACCCGACCATTATTGCAGCCACCAGAGTGAGTGCTAATGCCAAAACCCTCAATCCCAAGTCTGAACCCCTCACTGTTGTTTTGTTCACCACCTTCATTGTCCCTCCATTGCTGCTCTCCATCACCACCACCACCACCACCACCCACAAAAAAGAAAAGCTACAAAGAAAATGAACTTCTAGACTGAGAAAGACGAGGATGAGGGAGGAACTTATGTATCTGTATGCATATATATACAAATAATGACAGAACCAGGAAATTAAGATAGTGACGCACTTATTAATTGTAATTTTTTATTCAAAATAAAAATTATGATTTACATTAAGTTAATAATAATTTTATGAGATAAATTTAAGTATAAGAAATTAAAAATTATTACTAATAGGAATAAATCAAAATTTTATAATAGTGTGTAATTGTTCGGTGCGAGATGATGATGTAAGTTTGTAATTTTAGCATAAAAATTTATTGATCAAAATTCTTAATGTTTTAAAATAAAAACACATCATTTGTAGTACAAATTATTTTAAAATCTATTTTATTTTTATTTTACAGAAAATATAAATAATGTGTTTTAAATAGAAATTATTAAATATTCTTAGAGTACTATATGGCGTTGCTTACATGATATTCAAAGTATGAGAAATCACAAATCACATTAAGTAATCTGTCAAGTACATGAAAATAATGAATTAATTATATTCAATCCATATATTTCCCACTACATTATTGGTTTAAACTACTACATGAATAATACTATATAATGCTCTCAAAGTATCAAATAACTACTTAATGTGAATAATATAATAAATCTTTAGTCAAAAAACACGTTAAGAAAAAAAATACATTTTATATATAATCACAAAATAAAAACAAAAAAAAAATTAAAATTAAGAGGGCACGTGACCCTAAACCTTCTTTGGCTCCGCCCCGTATACAAAGAGAGAGAGAAAGATATGATTTGGCAAAAAATAATTTATGTATCCATAACACGACATAGTCTAACGCGTCCGGATCCTCTAGAGTCATCCTCTAGAGTGATCCTCAAGAGTGGTCCCTTAGAGTGCAACACGTGTCCCATTAACCCATCCAACGGCTGAGATGATCCCTCACCAAAACGGCGTCGTTTTGGTGAGCCAGACCAAAAAAAAAATAAAATTGCAGAGCTGCTGCAGATCGAGTCGAGAGAGGGGAGGAAGAAGAAGAAAATGGATTTGAAAGGAGGAGGAAGAAGAAAATGAAAGAAAACTGGAAGAAGAAAATGGATTTGAGGAAAGAAAATGGGGGATACTAGTGTATCTGAAATGGATTTGAAATGGGATTTGAACTTTAAAATGGATTTCAAATGGATTTCAGAAAATCTAACTGATGTGATGTGATGTAACTTTTCAGTTGTGCCAAAAGTGAGATATGAAAACTTTTTGTGCTTATTTTTTAGAATTATTTATTTATTTTTAAATACTTAATATATATCTAGTCTATTCCTAAAAAACAGAAAAGAGGAGTTATTAAACAACAATTGTTACGGGTGACAGTTATTTTATACAAACAGAAGCTAAAGAAACCCTTTACCAATCCACCCAACCTCTCATACATGATAGGCAAATCATATCATTAAGTTAAAAGCCTGTTAATTATGAAATGCTAAATGTCTATGTATGAAATAGTTTCTCATAGTTTGAACCAATGTGAGGGTGAGCTGTGAAAGGGTGGGTGTAACTTGGCTCTGTTAGGAAACTTTGTCTAGGAATGGGGTTGCAATATATATATATATATATATATGAGTAGTTGATTGACATTAAATGCATATAGATAGATGTTTGAGGAAATGGACTTGCGATGCTTTGGGTTCACATCTGCTCTGGACAATTGGGTTGACTGTTAGGAGTCAATTTGTTCCCCCTTGCTAGGGAAACTTTTTGAAAGAAAAATCCCCATTTGATTTGATATTTTAGCATTTTTGTTGTAATTCTAAATTAGAAAATTACTTAATGTGGCACCTTAATTGTATTTTTTCACATCAAATCATGTTTTAGAATGAAGGCGTTGTGGTGGGGTTGGACTATTTTTTCAGTAGTTTTTTTTTTTTCTTTTCACTAATTATTTTTAAAATTTTAAAAAATTACAATAAATTTTACAAGTTAACGATAATTATACTAATATCTCTTTTAGTAAGATCAACGTGATTATAACTAATATAAATCATTTGTAGGCACAAGATTAAATAAAAATAAAATAAAATTTAAGAAGCCTTTTTAATTAATTATGCTAAGTAAGACTTGATGTATGTTAGTATAATTCACCCATAGTTTTAAAGTTTTACTTTCTACTTTTTTTCATAGTGAAAATTTTAAGAAATTGTTGCAATTTAGCAGATGTTAAAAAATAAATAAATTACTATTCAAATTTTAAGTATCACAATTTTATCAACAATAATATAATAGGTTATATGTTAATTTTTAATTTATTACAAATTTAACCCATGAAAAACTAGCTCTCATGCTATGTTATCACGTGTGAATTGTAAATATTAATTTATAAATATCTAACTTCTTATTTTTTTTGTAGGTAGAAAATTTGAGTGAAAACCTTATTTATTTATCAATAAATATGTCTATTGACTGGCATGACCCATGAAGCTGAATCAGTTTGATTTGCTATTCTTTAGGATTGACTGAATCAGTTTTAGTTGTTGCTATTCTTTAGGATTATGAAGATTTCCTCAAGCTAATTTTTAGGCATTTAGCTGTTATGATCAACATGTAGCAGATTTTTCTGCAAATTCAGTTTTCATTATGCTGTATAAATAAACAGCTTGTTGCTCAATAAAATTCAACATTCTGTAGTCTCAAAAATTAGCTTCTTTCATTATCCTTAGTTTTTTGATTTCCTATAAAACCAAAAGATTGGTATCAGAGCTGTAATCTTGAGGGACCTGTGAGAGAGTTCAAACACAAATGAATTCAGAAAATTCATTCACTGCAATTGCACCTCCAGTGTTTGACGGAACAAATTATCAGGTGTGGGCTGTTAGAATGAAAGCCTATCTTAATGCTAATGATCTATGGGAAGCTGCTGAACAAGTATATGAAGTTCCACCTCTGCCAGACAACCAACTCTTGCACAAATCAAAAATCAGAAGGAGAGGAAGCAAAGAAAATCAAAAGCAAGAGCAACCTTGTTTGCAGCAGTCTCATCCAACATTTTTACCAGAATAATGACGCTAAAAACAGCCAAGGAAATTTGGGATTTTTTGAAGCAAGAATACGAAGGAAATGCAAGGAACAAAGGGATGCAAGTGCTGAATTTGATTCGAGAATTTGAGATGGAAAAGATGAAAGAATCATAAACAATCAAGGAATATTCTGAAAAACTTTATGGCATTGTCAACAAAGTAAGACTCCTTGGTACTGATTTTTCTGATTCTAGAATTGTTCAAAAGATCCTAGTCACAATTCCTGAAAAGTTTGAGGCTACAATTTCATCTCTGGAAAACTCAAAAGATATGTCAAGCATTATCTTGGCAGAATTGTTGAATGCACTGCAGGCACAAGAACAAAGGAGGCTTATGAGGCAACAAGGATCTGTGGAGGGTGCTTTTCAAGCCAAATCACAGAACAATAATGGCGGCAAAAACAAAAAAAGGTAGAACAAAAACAAGCAGCCTGGAGGTTATGCAAGCAACAACAAACATAGCCAAAGTAGCAACACTCAAGTCTTTCCACCTTGCCCCTACTTCAAAAAAACAAATCATCCACAGCATAAGTGTTGGTGGAAGCCAGATGCAAGATGTCACAAATGTGGTCAGTTAGGGCACATGGAAAGAATATGCAAGACTCAACAGCAACAAGTAGAAGCCAAGGCTGCAGAGGATCAACCTCAAGAAGAGTAGTTGTTTGTGGTATCATGCTTTGCCACCAACAGCTCCACAGAAAGCTGGCTTATAGATAATGGTTGTACAAACCACATGACTTATGATCGAGAGCTTTTCAGAGAGCTTGACAAGACTGCTATTTCTAAAGTCAGAATTGGAAATGGAGCACATATTGCAGTAAAAGGCAAAGGAACAGTAGCAATTGAAGGTTGCACAGGTTTGAAATTGATTTCTGATGTTTTATATGTTCTTGAAATTAATCAAAATCTTTTGAGTGTTACTCAGTTGTTGGAAAAAGGCTATAAGGTGCTGTTTAAAGACAAAAACTGTGTGATTAAAGATACAAAAGGCATAGAGGTATTCAAAGTTCAAATGAAAGGCAAAAGCTTTGCATTGGACTTGATGAAAGAGGAGCAGGCTGCTGTACATAAAGATGATAGCAATACAGTACTTTGGCACAAGAGATTGGGGCATTTCCATCATGCTGCTCTACTTTTCATGAAGAAGAACAATCTAGTGAAAGGCTTGCCTGAATTGGAGGAGGAGCCTCCTAAATGTGCTGCCTGTCAATATGGGAAGCAAACCAGGCTTCCTTTTCCACAAAACAAGGCCTGGAGGGCTACACAGCGGCTGCAATTAATACACACAGATGTGGGATGGCCAAAGAAAACACCATCATTGAATGGCAATAAGTATTATATTGCTTTCATTGATGATCACTCAAGAATGTGCTAGATTTATTTTATGAAGCTTAAATCTGAGGTTGCTGACATCTTCTGAAAGTTTAAAGCTTGGGTTGAAACTCAAAACGGATGCAAAATGCAGGTGATCAGGTCTGATAATGGAACTGAATATACCTTTGGAAAATTTAACAAGTTTTGTGAAGATACAGGCATCGAACATCAGTTGACAGCACCTTACACTCCTCAACAGAATGGCGTTGTGGAGAGGAAAAACCGGTCAATTATAGAGATGACAAGGTGCTTGCTTCATGACAAAGGGCTGCCAAAGAAATTTTGGGCCGAGGCTGTAAATACAGTAATTTTTCTGCTAAACAGATTGCCAACAAAAGCTTTGCAGAAAAAGACTCCATTTGAAGCATGGTCTGGCTACAAACCTGAGTTGCTTAATTTGAAGACATTTGGTTGCCTATGTTTCTCTTATATCCCTCAAGTTAAGAGAGACAAGTTGGACAAGAAAGTAGAATCTGGGATTTTTGTAGGCTATAGCTCAATTTCAAAGGCCTACAGGATCTACTTACCACAAAGCAACAAAGTAATTGTCAGCAGGGATGTTCAGCTTTTTGAGTTAGATAACTGGAGTTGGGAGAATGACAAGAAACTTGAGATTCATGAGGAGAATGATGATGTGGATGATGAACCTGTTAGAGGAACCAAATCACTCTCTGACATTTATCAGAGGTGTAATGTTGCGGTAATGGAGCCTGCAGGGTATGAAGAAGCTGCAACTGATCAGAAGTGGATAGCTGCAATGAAGGAGGAGCTAAAGATGATTGAAAAGAACCAGACATGGGAGTTAGTAGACAGACCTAAACACAAGAAAGCTATAGGAGTCAAGTGGGTTTACAGAACCAAGCTCAATCCTGATGGTTCTGTAAACAAGCACAAGGCAAGACTTGTTGTCAAGGGATATGCCCAGATGTTTGGGGTAGATTTTTCTGAAACTTTTGCTCCAGTTGCAAGGTTGGATACCATAAGGATGTTGCTGGCTCTTGCTGCACAAAAAGGCTGGGTCATACACCAAATGGATGTCAAGTCAGCTTTTTTGAATGGATAATTGGAGGAAGAAATTTTTGTGGAGCAACTTGAAGGGTTTGCTTTTCACGGACAAGAGGAGAAGGTATGTCGACTGAAAAAAGCCCTGTATGGTTTAAAACAGGCACCAAGGTCCTGGTATAGCAGAATTGATGCACACTAAGTGAACTTAGGCTTTGAAAAAAGTCTGAGTGAATCTACTTTATATATCAAGAAGGCTGATGATGAAATACTTGTAGTATCTCTGTATTTTGATAATCTACTTGTTACAGGAAGTAGTAAGGAGTTGATTGACAAGTTTAAAGAAGAAATGCAAGATGTCTTTGAAATGACAGACCTTGGGAGGATGACATTCTTCCTTGGTATGCAGGTACATCAAAAGCAAAATGAAATTTTTCTATGCCAGCATAAATATGCAAAGGAAATCCTCAAGAAATTCAACATGCAAGAGTGCAAGCCAACTGCAACTCCAATGAATCAAAATGAGAAGTTTTGCAAAGAAGATGGAGCTGAAAAGGTGGATGAAAGGCTGTACAGGAGCCTAATAGGCTGCCTAATGTATTTAACTGCAACCAGGCTAGATATCATGCACGTAGTGAGTTTGCTATCAAGGTATATGCACTGTGCTAGTGAAATTCATTTTCAAGCAGCAAAAAGAATTCTTAGATATGTTAAGGGCACAATTGATTCTGGAATAAGGTTCAGTCAAGTTAAAAACTTCAATCTCCATGGTTATTCTGATAGTGACTGGGCTGGATGTGTTGATGATATGAGAAACACCTCAGGTTACTGTTTTAGCTTTGGTTCTGGAATTTTTTCATGGTGTTCTAAGAAGCAAGAAGTCATAGCTCAATCTACAGCAGAAGCAGAATATGTAGCTGCTACTGCTGCTGTGAATCAAGCCCTTTGGATCAGGAAACTCATGACAGATTTGCATATGGAACAACAAGAAAGCACACAAATATTTGTGGATAACCAAGCTGCAATTTCAATTGCTAGTAATCCAGTGTTCCATGGCAAAACAAAACACTTCAAAATAAAGTTTTATCTACTAAGAGAGGTGCAAAGGTAAGGAGAAGTGCAGCTGATCTACTGCAAAATAGAGAATCAAAGTGCTGACATCCTAACAAAGGCACTTCCAAAGATTAGATATGAATTCTTGAGGCAGAAGCTTGGTGTATGCAGCTCCAGAGTCAATGAGGAGTATTGACTGGCATGACCCATGAAGGTGAATCAGTTTGATTTGCTATTCTTTAGGATTGACTGAATCAGTTTTAGTTGTTTATATTCTTTAGGATTATGAAGATTTCCTCATGCTAATTTTTAGGCATTTAGCTGTTATGATCAACATGTAGCAGATTTTTCTGCAAATTCAGTTTTCATTATACTGTATAAATAAACAGCTTGTTGCTCAATAAAATTCAACATTCTGCAGTCTCAAAAATTAGTTTCTTTCATTATCCTTAGTTTTTTGATTTCCTATAAAACCAACAATGTCTTTGCTAAATGTGTAATTCTTTTGGAAGGGATTAAAATAATGAAAAAAAGAGTTATTTGAGCTAAACCAAACACGTCCCAAATCCTCAAAGTGAACATGTTTGTTAAGTGGCCACCCTCTTGGGAAATTCTATTTCCACATATCTACATATCTCAGTATATATCATTTCTCAGTACATACATTTATTAATTTGATTATTAATTAATTTTCTTAATCCACACAATAAATATTCAATTTTACCTTTTACTCCTACTATTGTATACACACTAATCCCTCCTTCCACACACTTGTTAAGTAGACCACTACAGAGTTGTTGAGCAATTCGAGAGCTCTCTGGCACCACACGAGCACAACCTTCAAGGCCTCTTTCTTCACGCGAAGCCGATCCTTATCCGACTTGACAATGACCTCCATAACCCTAACAATACATACAAATAGGCCTGTAAATGGATCGGATTCGGATCGGATCTGTCAAAATCCGAATCCGAATCCGATTATGTCAAACCCGAATCCGATCCGAATCCGTTTAGTCTATATCCGATTATAGATATCCGAATCCGAATCCGATGATTTCGGATATCCGATCCGATAATCCGATCCGATCCATTTATTTATTTATTGAGCTATAATTTTATATAATTTGATTTTTTTTTCATTTTGTGTTTTTTTTCCATTCAAATTGATAATACTCGGATCGGATTATCGGGTTATCGGGTCGGATCGGATTTTTGCAGATTCAATCCATTTAATAAATGGATTAAACGGATTCGGATTATCGGATTATCGGATCGGATTTTTTTGTAAACGGATTCGGATTATCGGATCGGATTCGGATCGGATTCGGGTTAAATCCGATCCATTGACAGCCCTACATACAAATATATGTATGTAAGAATATATAGTCACAAAATATATGTATATATATAGTATATAATGAAGTACAGGGAACCTCTTTCTCTCTCATTTTTTGTTTTTGTTTTTTTGCTCAAACCCTAGAGAGAGAAGATTATTGCGCAGTTTTGTTTTCATCATTTGTGAGCTTGTTTTGTTTCAGAGGTGTGAAGGATGTGCTTCTCAAAAAAAAATTAAAAATAAGTAAAAAAATTAAAAATTAACTTTTTATGTGCTTCTCAAAATAACTTATAGCGTTATTTATTTTATTATCCTTTATGGAAAATGCGGGGCGACCCCAGTAATAGACGACCCCAGCAACTCCCTAGTCCACGTGGCTGTAAGTGATTGACAGAAAAAAGTTGGAATCGACCCCAGTGGACGTGTGTAGCATTGTTGGAATCGACCCCAGTGGACGTGTGTAGCATTGTTGGAATCGACCCCAGTGGACGTGTGTAGCATTGTTGTATCCTTTATGTTTCGCTATGGACTGACGGCAAAGTAGTGTCAAATCATGATTTCATCGAATTTGTGATTTGTTATCTATGACAGCAGTGATACCTTCTTTAATTTTTTTAGTTCTAATTGAATTTTAATTGTATAGAAATTTAAAAAAAAAATTAAGTCATAATATCACATCAATAAATGCAACTCGTTCTTAAAACTCATAGAACTCATATTTTAAAATTCCTAAACAATTTTCTTCATAAAAATTGATATAACGGAATGGTTAGTCTGTTCCTAAGTTTGTATTTTAATTTGAGAAAATTTAAGTGGCTCTTGAAATTCATTACGAATTTTATTTTAATGATACAAATTGTTTATATTATAAAAATTTTCATATATATTATTTAATGAAAAAGTAGATTAATTTAATAATCATAATTTTTTTATTTTATCTTGTTTGTATAAAAAATAGATGATCTATTTTCAAAATATACTTATAACTTTTTTTAAAAAAATTAAATATACTAAAATAAAAAAAATTACAATTATCAAAATGACTAGCATTGCTAAATTCTACCAAGAAAAAGATCTTACATGAAAAAAAAAAAAATTTGACATATATGAGGCAAATGTCTCGTTTGAAAAGTTGGTTATTTTAATAGGTAATTTTAATTTTTAACTATTTTAGTATATTAAAATTTTTACATTTGGAAAGATGATTGAATTTTTTTGTAACTAGATGTGATATTTATGAAAGAAAAAGTGAAATGATTATGAATTTGATGTGAGGTGTTATTTTATTAATTATTTTAACTTATTTTATCTTTGTATAAATTTTAACCAAAAAAAAAAAGACAAAAACTCACTTGCCAAATAGGGCCAAAAACAACCAACAATAAACAATAAGGGTAAATTACATTTACACCCCCTAAAGTTTAGGTTTAATATATATAATCTCTGATGTTTGGGAAATTACATTAACCTCTTTATCATTGTAATTATTTAGAGGGAATGAAAATATTAATTTCTCTTTTTTTACTTTACTTTACTTCTTATGTTGTTTTTTTCCTTTCTTTTACTTTATTTTTTTTTATTGTAATTTCATCTATTTTTCTACTAAAAATTGTTATCTTTTATATAAGTAATGAGGTTTTTGAAATGAAATAATTAATCACAGCAGCGAAAATATAATTTTTAAAACATCAAAAAAATAAAATATAATTAAACCAAATCCAAGAGTGCCAGTCTAATTTACCCAAACAATAAAGACTGGTCCTTTAGGAAGATGCCCAGCTCTCATGATGCTCTCCAGTCACTTTCATGGCCCATGAGAGGTGTTTGGGAGGTTAGGTTTAGACCAGAATAATTAATTAAAAATAAAATAAGATGAAATAATTAATAAAATAAAATATCATAAATATTAAATTAATTATAAAAAAAAATAATTACCATCTCAAATATAATTTTTTTAATTATACTAAAATAATTTAAAAAATTAACTAAAATAATTTATTATCAAACAGGTATATGTTAATTTTGCTTTGGCCATATATACATTTAGTAACAAAACAACCTTGTTACAGACATCTTCATTAAAATCATTTTTCCTACAAAATTAAGACGGTTAATGGTTATAAATTTTGTGTTCTCAAATTTCTCTGTCCACCGTAAATAAAGAGATTTTAGAATAAAAAATTACGTGTCAAAATTCATAAATAGATAGCATATTTCAACAATCCCGCTACAGACCCCCAGTGACATGGTGATGAGGTGGCAGTTGATGTGTAAACACAGCTGAAAAAAAAAAAACAAAAAAAAAATTGAAAAAAGCAGGAATTTCTGTCTTCCCTCGTCTGTCCTCAACTCTCGCCGCCTTCCTCATCTATCCTCGTCTGTCTTCCCTCGCTTATACTTACCTCTCACCGCCATCCTCCTCCTCCACCATAGCTCGCCGGGAATTTCTACAAGAGTGTATTCTGGACAACGGCCATTGTTTTGAGCAATATCAGATTACTCGCTCTCATCTATCCTCAGAATTTTTGTAATTTTGCTCTGTTTGGTTTTGCTCTGCTCTGTCTCTGTCCATCAATCTGGTTTATGAGGTAAAAAATCAAATGAAAAGGCTGCAATTCGTAAATGAAAATGCCACAATTCCCAAATGAAAAGAAAATTTATGAAAATGAATTTCAAATCAAGGTTTTCATCGAACAGGAAATAGATAGATAGATAGATATATATATACGCAGATATACATACAGATAGTCGGGGCTTCACAGATAGATATATATAGATATATATATATATATATATACGTAACATTCAAAAAGAGAGACGACGACGATTCAGATATATTCATCAACAACAACAAGCATATCTATTCATCATCATCAGCAACAACACACTCATTCAGAGAGCGAAAGAGAGACAAACAGATTAAGAAACGAGCTGTCAGTGTCGGAGTGAAGGGAAGAAGTGGTCGCCGGCGTCGGAGTGGGAGTCAAGCATCGGAGTGGGAGGTCAGTAGTTGTTACCGTTGGAGCGAAGACATATACGTGTTTGAGGGAGGAGGGGGGAAAATTTCAAAATGAAATGTGAACCTCTGTGTTTGGGTCTATTAACAGATACATAGATTTTTCAGTCACGTGACAATCACGTGAGTGCCACCTCACTGGGGGTCACTGGGGGTCGGGAAAACTGGGGGTGAGAAGCATTTTTGTATATTTCAATAAGAAACTACAATGCCTTAAAAGACATTGATGTGGTTAGGGATGGGTGCGGGTCGGTTGCGGTCACGAAACCTCCAATCCACCATCCGTCTGCCAAATTGGCGGATTGGAGGAAATCAATCTACATCCGTCTGCCAATCCGGCGGATGTGGATTGAGCGGATTGGCGGTTTGGCGGATAGATGCGAATTGGTTTGGCAGTTTAAAATTTTATAAATTCTTAACATAATTCAACATGTGTATTTCCTTCCTCAAAAAAAAAAAAAAAAAAAGAAGAAGAAGAAGAAAATATTACAGTTAATGACTTAAAAAAATATTACAATCACTGCATACCTTATCCACATAAAGTATTATAATCTATGGTTCTTAAAATATAAAAGCAATTCAAACCACCAAAACCATGAACAAAGTAGTAGTAGAGATTGTATGTCTTTGTATTGTTACATCTATATCTGTTTTTGAAAATAAAAACCAACCAGCATATATCATATTTTCTATTTATTATTTTTAG